CCGCCGTCACCATCACGTGCCGCGCCGTCACCATCAAGTACCTCGCCGGCACCACCAAGTACCTCGCCGTCACTACCGTCACCATCAAGTAGCGCCACAATGCGCCTCAAGGAACATAGGGCAGTCAGTCTGGTTAAGAAACTCCCTAGAGCAATAATAGCTTTTGCCTCAAATCTTGTTTAATCGGTAGGACTTTGTTCGCTAAAGCAAAAAATTTGCCACTAGGGCAAACGTCCTTTTTATTTGAACAGCAAACTAGCCAACTGTCATTTAACTGTTTTAGCAAACGCTCATTTTTTATTTATTTTCTTCATTTTTTTTTCTGCGTGTGCGCTGACAAGGTTATCGCTGAGCGAAGCTCAGTCCAAGTCGCTGAGGGGTCAGGCGATGTCTCCGTCGTGAGTCTGTCTGTCTGTGTCCTGCGGCTCACTTTTTATGAAAAACGGCAATGCTTATCACGGAAAGCAAATTTGCTGCGACATCTATAATTTAAGAGGGGTTCAACCTCCCCTTTTTGTTAGTGTTGGGATGATTTGAAATATATCGTTCTCTTTTTTCATAGAGAGCTTCAGATGTTGTTGTTTCAGTGGTGGCAACACTGACAAGAGAGGGAGAAAAGAGCGCGAACACGCGAATGGCTCGCCCACTTCAAGCTTTTGAAACTCTCTCACAAGTGACTAAAACGTCAGATTGTCAAATTGAGTGTAATATTTTTAGTTTTAGAGTTGCGGAACTCGACCTACGAAGTTTCGCGAGTGTCTGGTGAGAAGAAACGAAAGTGATATTTCGAATGGTTTACGTGTTTACGTACGTAACTTGGAGGGGGAGGGGGGGTAGTGGTTCGGGAGAAATGTAAAAAGGTTACTATTGTTTCTGGTTCATCTTGACAAAAGAAAACGAAAATGTTTTATGCTCCACGACGATCGGAACCGAAATGGCAGAGTTATTGCCCGCCAAATTGACAATTTGGTCGTTTTTGCACACATTTACCCCTTTGGGTGCTAATAACATTGTCATTTCAACTCTGATCGGCTTTGAGCATAAGACATTTCCTTTTTAATTTTGAGAAAGGAATCCGAATCTTGTATTACTCTTTAAATTTTGTAACTTCTAAAAAAAAAAA